TTATTTATTTCCATTTTAAAAAAAAACCACGCAATCCAAAATAAAAACCCCCTTTAATTTATTTCTTATCATTTCCATTTATTTTCTTTTAGCTCCAATCCAAATCAAAATTAATCAAAGAATTTTCATTTTTTTTTCAATTAGCTCAAATTCAAATCAAAATTGAGCACAAAATTTTTCATTTATGTTTTTCAAAGTTCAAATTTAATGTGTGTATAATTTTTATTAAATACCAAATGTGAATAAAAGCAAAGATTTAAGAAATAAATGAAAACTATATATGCTATTAGGATGTAAATAGTTCGCCTGAATCATTTTTTCCCTCGATAAAATTCCAGAATGGAAATTCTCGAAATCCACAACAATACCAGTCATCATTATTTGATGATTCTATTGGCAAGTTGTTTCCAACACTGAAGGCAAGTTTTTTTTCAGCTTCTTGTGCGTCAATTGTCATATTCATTCTTTACAATCATCGTACCAATAATATCTTTCCATTTAATTAGTCTTATCAAATTGCTTTGACTTCGTCTGACATTATTAGTCTCGTTGGCACATTGAACCGAAACTGAAATCCGGTATTCTCCAAACTAAAAATAGTCACTTGCGATGTCACATTGATGATAAAATAATGCCAACAAAAATAAAAAGTAAACAAACAATCACTTCAAAATCATTAACACAAAACACTTCCCTCGAATGAAGAATCCAACCATAAATTATTTTAATTTGAATTTAGAAACGACTGCCAAAATATAAACACATTTTTTATTTTATTTTTGTTTTTCGCAAATTCGTTCTAAATTATGTTTTTTTTTTGTGTGCATTGAAGGTGTCCTTTTGATATTACGACATCATTTTGGAATAAAATTAACCTGAAAAATCCCAATGTTATTATAAAGGAATAAATTAATCAAAAATATGTTGCCATTTTACGAAATTAATAATAATGTGGGTATTTCCGTTAAGACACAAAGATAATATCAATTTAGTCAGTCATTTTAACTTCTTTAGTCATCAATCATTGTTTTTATTCAATAAAATATTTCTGTCTCACTATGTCGCTTTACACATATGCAGTGAACATGGTATTGTAAACATCGGTGGTCATCAATGAATGTTATTGCCAATGTTCTGCTTCATTTGTTGCAGAATAGTAATTGGTTTAATAGAGTTGTTATTCAGTTTTTTTTTCTTCAGTAGCAACATTACCTTTACAAACACGTGCGTCAAGAATGTTGTTTACGAATGTAACCAACAATGAACAACTATTCAACTTGATTCATGGCATAACAAAAAATTTGAGTTCAGACGTAAACATATAAAGTCTGTTACAATATTAATCTTCAAAATTACAGTGCTCAACAGGTATTTTCCATCAAATGAAAGTCATTTGAATTCCGGAAATCATTTGTTGTTCTCAACTGAGATAATTAATTTGATTTGTACATTGTCGAAGTTTTATCAATTGAAATTCAACGTTCACTCAATCCGTAGATTTCTCTTTGGAAATGAAATAATATGATACTCAACAAAAAAATCCTATAAACTACAGAAACCCATATGGAAACATACACGGTATATAGACATTTTTTATTTTAATTTTTCGACATGGAATCACTTCAGTGCCAATAAAAAAAATAAATTATGCAGTCGGCGGACACATCGACTAATTCAGAATATTCATACAAGTTTCTTATTTTGTTTTGGTGATTTTATGGAATGTCTATTTTTGGAAAGAATTAAAACCGAATATTTGTTGATGCGTGATTTTAGAATTCAACGAAAAAAAGCCAAGCGATGTATTCATAAAAATATGCCAAATAAATGGGTTTCTTCGTCTCTTTTTCCCAAATAGAATCATTCGAAAACTTTGAGTCTCGTGAAAAATTCAATAATGCGTCAATACATGGCATTCAGTTTCATTTGTATTAAACAAAATCCTCGAACATTGAGCGCTATTCTACATTGCATGCGAAACACACACACACACACAATATAAATTAAACGAAAACTGCGTTTTAAATAAACTGATAAATGGAGTTTTTTACTTTATTGGAGTATTGGTTCGTATATAATGTATTTCAAAGTCGATTCGAGTTGTTATCGCTTGATATTTATTCACAATCAGTTGTATATATGTTGTTAATTTTATTTTCGCAATAGAGATCCAATAAAAGAGAGCATTTGTTATCAAAAAAAAATGTGTTGTGCTATTTTTTAAACTATGAATGACTGACATGAAAAAAATAAGTTGACCGTCTACAGCATTTTACATTATTGGAATCCCTTGTGATGAGTGAAACGCAGAAGCATGTCGAGTACCCATTTTGGTTGATCACCAGGAGCCATATGGCCTAAAAAATTGAAATAAGCAGGAAATTCATATTTAGACAAAGTAAATCTCAGAGATGAACAATTCGTCAAACACATACCGGCATTACGAACTAAAACCTCTGTTAAATTGCCTGCATGTTTTACATAACCAGCAAGTTCATTATCCACACGCCAAATGTAACGTTTGGCTGTTTTATATTCTTCGGCACCGCTAAAATTGAGATTCTTCAAGTAGTTTTCCGTCAATGGATATGCAACAATAATATCCAACTGGCCATTGTACACCAATATTGGATAATGTGAAAGTAGTTCGGCCACCCAATCAGCGACGCTATTCATCACATCACGTTTCAAATGATCTTCGACTTTATTTTCACCTTCTAAACCATGGAATGTATTATTTCCAACGTGAATTGAATGACGTGTTTCGGTTTTCTGTAGAAAATCACCCATTGCGTTACCACTATTATCATCCGTTTTGAGATAATTGAAATACATATTGAATCCGGTCAAATTTTTAAACAATGACCCTTGTGGATATTGATCCGCATTGAGAAGTTTGTCGAAAACATCAAAAGCACAATCAAAGTCACGATTTTTAATGCAATCGATGCCCTGATTTTGATACTGCAAAAATTGTTCATGTCCATTTGAATCGATCAATCCCAATTGATACAAATAGTCACCATAATTAAACTGATGAATGGGATCTGTGAGCCCATTGCCGATAGCAAGACCTTTCAAGTTGATTTTTGGTTTTTGTGGTTCGTTATCTTCCCGCTTGCTGTCTTGATAAATGGCATATCCGATAGCTGGAACGTATTTTCCAGCATACGATTCTCCCGAAACAAAAAATTCGTTCTTTTGAAGATTTGGGAATAACAAGAAGAATTGTTGTAGAGCGCGTAACAAATTTTCACCCACATCTTTTTCATTTTTAGCATATCCATCGTCAGCGTCAGTAAAACTAAATCCCGTACCAACCGGGTTATCGATGTAAATCAAATTGTGGTTTAGATGCCATGAATATTTTCGCGGTATTAACTTTGGCTTGGAGCCGCTTGGGCCATTTTTGGCAAATAATTTAAATAAGCCCCGAAACGTGTTTTGTTGCAAATTCGATTCGTCATTTGAACTAATGCTGTATGGACCATTTTCGGTGAATAGGCCAAATAAAGATGAAGCACCGGGCCCACCTAGTCGAAATTCATACATAATTAGTCTCGATTTGGTTACCATGCGTTTCTTTTTGTTTACATACCTTGAAGCCATAACACAACGGGAGCGTTGTCCGTATTCACTTTAGCGGGGAAAAACCAGAAGAACATATTGGAATTGTATTCTTTGTTGACGGTAAAATATCCAGCATAATTTATTATTGTCATTTCAGGATGATTGACTAATGCTAAATTACGTGCCTAAAAATCATGCAAATTATTTTGTTTCAATTTATTTTAATTTTGTTGTTAGAAACTCTGATTGACGTGTTTTCATCAGATACATAAAAACAAGTTAAAAAACGCACCTTTTCAACCTCCCCATTTTCTATGTATTTCGTCAAATACAGAGCCTCGCCGGGATCACCACCATCACTAAACGATTTGAATTTCGGATAAGGATTTACAAATGATCCATGGATAAGATTAACAGCTACCGCTATATTCAAAAATAGCAATATTATACGCATTTTGCGTTGGAAAGAAATTATTTGCTTTGTTCTCGAGATGAAGAATGAAGCAAATATCAGACGCACAAACTATATGACTTTTAACATTCGACTGTATTTGTTACATAGAACAAATAGAGCACAAAGTACAAAATGCTGAAACTGATAAACTAATACACTGACAACAAATTCATAATTGAATGACAGTGCAAAACGAATAACGACACACAATGTCATCATCTGCTCGAAAGATTACTTTGCCCTGTACTTGTGCTACATATGTGTTTCTGTATTTGTGCCGTTGCCACATTCATGAACACAGACAAACATGCATCACTGCTATCAACAATATTTATTTTCAATACACTTACATTTGCCAATATGTTATGAAATAAGAAGAAAGCAAAAGCAGAGGAGAGAAAGAAATGCAAAACAACTCTTCAAACTGAAATGTCATAAGGTGAAAATATGCACATAAATAATGAACAAATATATTTAAGAATTTTTTTTCTATTTCAGTTAAAATTTATTTGATATTTAAAACAGTAATGGCTTTTAATTTTGACGTGCTGAATAAGCTAATATTAGAACAAATGTATCACAAATTTGTAAGGAAAATGTTAACCGCAACGATAATAGCCATGAGGAACGAAATTGAAAGAAATGTGATTTTATATAAATGTAAGTTTGGCAACTGTGATGATAATAATTTTGATATTTCTTCAAATGATTCCTTTGTTGAAAAGTTCTGTTGATATACATCGACTAATCGCCTCCAAAAATGAATATTTCAATTAAATTGCAATTGTTTCATATCTTTTTTTTTTAATTGGGAATGACTCAGATCCAACAGAAAATGCTCAATAGCTGTGATGGGTGAAATGTAGAAGCATATCAAGTGCCCACTTTGGTTGATCTGCCGGAACCATATGACCTAATAAACCGAAAAAGGCAAACCTTAGAAATAATAGCATAGTTTTACATAAATTGCACATCACTCACCGGCATTACGAACCAAAACCTCTGTTAAATTGCCTGCATGTTTCACATAACCGGCAACTTCATTATCCACACGCCAAATGTAACGCTTGGCTGTTTTATATTTTTCGGCACCACTGAAATTGAGATTCTTCAAGTAGTTTTCCGTCATAGGGAATGCACAAATTATGTCCAACTGCCCATTGTATACCAAAATTGGATAATATGAAAGTAACTCGGCCACCCAATCAGCAACGCTGTCCATCTCATCAAGTCTCAAAAAATCTTCAACTTTATTATCAACATGGAACGTATTATTTCCAACGTGAATGGAACGACGTGTTACTGCTTTCTGTAGAAAATTTCCTATTGCATTATTATCATCTCCATTGGTTATTAGATAATTGAAGTAATTATTGAATCCGGTCAAATTTTTAAACAATGACCCTTGAGGATATTGATCCCCATCAAGTAGTTTATCGAAAACATCAAAAGCGCAAGCAAAGTCACGATTTTTAATGCAATCGATGCCCTGATTTTGATACTGCATAAATTGTGCATGTCCATTTGAATCGATCAATCCCAATTGATACAAATAGTCACCATAGTTTGCTTGATGAATAGGATCAGTAAATCCGTTACCGATAGCAAGACCTTTGAAGTTGATTTTTGGTTTTTGTGGATCGTTATCTTCACGCTTGCTGTCTTGATAAATGGCATATCCGATAGCTGGAACGTATTTTCCTGCATAGGATTCTCCCGCTGCAAAAAATGCATTCTTTTGAAGATTTGGAAATAGCAAGAAGAATTGTTGTAAAGCTCGTAACAAGTTTTCACCCACATCTTTTTCATTTTTTGCATATCCATCGTCCGAATCAGTGAAACTAAATCCCGTACCAACCGGGTTATCGATGTAAATCAGATTGTGGTTTAGATGCCATGAATATGTTCGCGAAATTAATTTTAGTTTTGGGCCAACGCTGTATGGACCATTTTCAGCGAATAGTCCAAATAAAGATGAAGCACCAGGTCCACCTAGTTGAAATACATAGATAATCAGTATATATTTTTGTGAAATTATTGTTAGCAATTTATAAATATTTTTTCTTGTTCGCATACCTTGAAGCCATAAAAGAACGGGAGCGTTGTCCGTATTCACTTTAGCGGGGAAAAACCAGAAAAACATATTGGAATTGTACTCTTTGTTGACGGTAAAATATCCAGCATAATTTGTTATTTCCATTTCAGGATGATTGACTAATGCCAAATTACGTGCCTTAAATCACGTGTAGTAATTTTAATTTAATTTTTTTGATTTTCAAAATTTTTATTGACGGCGTTAATACATAAAAAAAACCAACCTTATCAATCTCCCCATTTTCAATATATTTCGTCAAATACAGTGCATCCCCAGGGTTGCCGCCATCATTATACGATTTCAATCGAGGATAAGGATTCATAAATGATCCATGGATAACATTAACGGCTACCGCAATATTCAAAAATAACAAAAATGTACGCATTTTGTAAAAAAAATTATTTGCTGTTTACTTGCTATGATTTTGAAATCAAAATAAAGATGACAGACTTGACTTCCAACATTCGACTGTATTCGTTACACAGAATAAATAGAGCGCACAGCACTGACCGAATAACTGATAAAGTCATACTTGTGTTTGTATATGTGTGTCTTTGTCAGTGATATGCATCATTGACATCAACAACCGACTTTTCCATAATATGTTATGAAATGAGAAGAAAGCGAAAGCAAAACGGGGAAAAGAATTGAAAAAAAAAACACTTGAAACTTAAATGTCAATTGATGACAATGAAATTTGCACATGAATACAGTGAGATATTCTTACCAAAAAAAAAACTTCTTCTTCTTTTGTTTAGAAACATTTTAAATGTATGTATTTCAATGCACAACATTTGGCCCAATAAAACCACAAAACAAAATAAAAAATATTCTAGTGCATTGACCTATGTTGTGGATCTTTGGTCTTTCTTTTAATTTATTGCTTAAATTATAAGCTAGATTAAATGCAACAGAAAGAGCCATTCACGTAAAAAAAAAGTCGAGAAAAAAATGATATAAAACGAAATCGACCAAAAATGAACGAAATAGAATACAATCTCATATAAATGTGACAAGTCATGGTTCGCGGTATATGGTGGCTGTGACGTTATTGAACTGATTTACATAATGCCCATGTTAGTTTATTAAATGATTTGTTGTTTATTTTGCTTAATACATTGATTAATTAGTAATCTCACAAGTTCCTTATTTTGTATTGACTTCAGATAAAATATATTGAAATTCAAATAAAAAATATTTCTTGCGGTTGTAAATGGCATTCAACATTTTATGTTATATTAAACAGAAACGCATGTTTTTAAGTTTCGTTTCATCGCATAATCACAGCATGTTTAGCTTTAACTTGTATATATAAAATAAAATAAAATAAATTACGACTTATTGGCAGTTCGCAATCGAAAATAAGTCAATAATATTTCAACTGTACTATTTTCCTTTTTCGTTATGAATGACTGAGTTAGCTTACATCAAAGATAAAAATGTATAAAATTCATAAAATATTAATAAAATAAAATTTCAACAAATATAATTAAAGATGTTCACATCATTGGAAACCTTTATGATAGGTAAAACGCAAAAGCATGTCAAGCACCCACTTTGGTTGATCGCCAGGAGCCATATGACCTATTCAATTGTAATAAACAGAAAACATATTTAGAGAAAAGAAAATAAATCATATTAATCGTTCATATGTGTTTTCTCATACCAGAATTACGAACTAAAACCTCCGTTAAATTGCCTGCATGTTTCACATAACCGGCAATTTCGTTGTTCACACGCCAAATATGACGCTTCGCTGTTTTATATTCTTCGGCAGCACTGAAATTGAGATTCTTCAAGTAGTTTTCCGTCAATGGATATGCAACAATAATATCCAACTGGCCATTGTACACCAATATTGGATAATGTGAAAGTAGTTCGGCCACCCAGTCAGCAACGCTATCCATAATGTCCAGTTTCAAATGATGATCAACTTTATTTTCACCAATTAAATCATTAAATTTATTACTGCCAACGTGAATTGCCCGACGTGTTTCGCTTTTCTGCAGAAAATCTCCCAGTGATGCCACAAAATTATCATCGGTTTTCAGAAAATTGTAGAACGAATGGAATCCGGTCAAATTTGTAAACAATGACCCTTGTGGATATTGGTCCATGTCATCGAGTAGTTTTTCGAAAACATCATAAGCGCAAGCAAAGTCATGATTTTTAATGCAATCGATGCCCTGATTTTGATACTGCATAAATTGTTCGTGCCCATTTGAATCGATCAATCCCAAGTGATATAAATGATCACCGTAATTAAACTGATGAATGGGGTCAGTGAATCCGTTCCCGATGGCAAGACCTTTCAAATTGATTTTTGGTTTTAATGGATCATTATCTTGTCGCTTACTATCTTGATAAATGGCATATGCAATAGCTGGAACGTATTTTCCACCGTAAGACTCTCCTGATGCAAAGAATTCATTCTTTTGCAAATTTGGAAATAGCAAGAAGAATTGTTGTAGAGCACATAACAAATTTTCACCGACGTTAACTTCATTTTTTGCATATCCCTCATCCGAATCAGTGAAACTAAATCCCGTGCCAACCGGGTTATCGATGTAAATAAGGTTGTGATGCAGATGCCATGAATATGTTCGCGGTATCAACTTTTCTGACGATCGGCGTTGGAAATTTCTAGTGAAAAATCCAAATACACTATGCCACGTGAATTTTTTTTGTTCTTGATTTGTGCTAATGCTGTATGGACCATTTTCGGTGAACAGTCCAAATAAAGACGATGCACCGGGCCCACCTAGTCGACATTCATAGATAATTAATTTGTTAAATGGTTGCTATCAATTTATAAATATTTTTTTCTTGTTCACATACCTTGAAGCCATAAAAGAACGGGAGCCTTATCTGTATTCACTTTAGCGGGGAAAAACCAGAAGAACAGATTCGAATTGTATTTTTTGTCAACGGTAAAATAGCCAGCATAGTTTGGTATCGTTATTTCAGGGTGGATGACAAACGCCAATTTACGTGCCTAGAATCACGCGTAGTAAATTTTTTTATAATTTTTTTATTTTTGTTGTTTCAAATTCCAATTGACGTCTTTCGGATAGAGATTAACAAACAGGAATATAAAAAGATAAAATTCAAGTGAAAAAAGACTCACCGTATCAATGTCTCCATTTTCGATATATTTTGTTAAATACAACGCCTGTCCAGGATCGCCACCATCACTATATGATTTATATCGTGGATATCGATTTATAAATGTTCCACGGATAACATTAACTACTACCGTGATACTGATAATTAACAGTAGTGAACGCATTTTGCATAAAATACTGTAATTTGTTCTTTTTTAATATTCAAAAACACAGATGACTATCTGATCTAACAATCGCTGAGAATGAAAAAGCAATACGAACTACAGCATGTCTTTTTGTCGCTTTCATTTTTTGCGTTGCATCTATTCTTGTGTGACAGTATGAGAAAGAGATACAGCTCGTTAGGACAAATTCTTTTTTTCTTCGTCTGCTTTTGAGCTGTCAGATTTGTTGACATTTCTCACACATAACAAAAAGTGCAGAAAATGCCGGCCAAAACTGTACACACTGACAAAAAAAAATCATGATTGTTAAATTACAGTGAAAAGCGAACGCAGCATTGTCATGAAGAATTTGTTGAAAAAATCACTTCATCAAAACATGTGCTTGTGTATTTGTGTCTCTGTCAGTTCTGTGACACAGAGTGGCATGCACCACTGATATCAACAATAACACTTTTTTTTAATGTCGATTTTATGAAGTGAAAAGAAAGCAAACACCGAAGAGAGAAAGAAAGGCAAAATAGTCTTAAAACGTTGCAAAAGCAGAATAGTCTTGAAACGTTGTTATTCGGATTATTTCATATAAAGTTTTCATGTAACTACAGGATCAGGCGACGATAATTCGTTTCATCGTCTCTTTCTCTCTCACACCTTTTGTATGTAAATCATCGATCAAAAGTCATCGAATCGATGCGAATATGAATTTTCCACGTGCATATGAAATAACTGGACATGCAAGTCTCTCTTATCTAAGAGCCGTGCAGATTGAATTACTATTACGAAATAAATTATGGCATAATTTGTGCACTTATGCATTCGAGCGCATTACCGTGTTTCGTTCAGACATATGGCAAAAAATTAAAAAAAAAAAAAAATGAAATCGAGACATAGTACGCGAAAGGGAGAGAGTGAGAGAGAAAAAGAGAAAATTGCGTATGTACCGAGTCGAATCGAAACGATGTATAGGAATGGTCTTCGCAAATAGACGGTAATAAAAGAGTTTCAATAAATGCATGCAACATCGCCATAATTGTACTGAGGCGATAGCTGACGTTCGTGATGTTTACTTTTTTACTTGCCTAATAAAATGCATAGATATATCTATCGACGTCTCTTTTCAGCTGTTTGGCCTATGCTTTCGTTTAAAATATCGATTATCACATACTGTGTTCACCGAAACACTTCACACACGAAACATTCTCAAACAAAAAAAAAATGTGTAATTATTCAGCGAAAAGTGTTTGGTTGTGTCATAAATTTTTTGAATTATTCTTCATCTTTCAATTAAATATGGTTATTGTTGAATGAAAAATGAGATTCATAAAAAAAAAATCTGAATCCAAAGGTCGCCCGGTGCTGTATGGCATATCGGTCATAAACAAATTTAATATTGGTTCAATATCAACCATGTCAACTGATAGAAAAATATTCAAATACCAAAGCCAATTTCTATGCAACAAACGCTTTGTGCGTCACAAAATGAAAGACCCAATACAAGTGCATACATTTCGATGAATAGCAATAATTAGGATGACACACACATATGTCAAAAATCAATTGTCAAAATGAAACAAAAAAAAACATCAATTAAATATGCTTTAAACCATCTATAGGTATGACCCGGACCAAAATGATGATGAAGAAAATGAAGAATATATATTTCGTGGTCATTCATATGTGCCAAATTAAAGCATTGTTAAGTTAACATTGTACCATTAGGAAAGTAGCATTTGTTTAATTTTGAAACGCGCAATAAATGATAATTTTATTGTGGATTTCCGTATAGTAACTTCTTTGTATCGTTGTGCATTGATAGCGAAAACTGGTCGGCATGAACTTTCTCGACAATTTGTTTCATGCGTAAAGTAAATTTTGGTTTCTTTTGAAATTTCCAAGATTTCAATATGATTTGTGTGTGTGTTTGTTTTTTTTTTGTCTTAGTTTAATAAAACGATTGTGTGTCCGATGGGCCAACCACCAATTTGACGCATGATAAATGAAAAGAAGATATAAATTATTATTAGAGAATATATGAGTTCATGACATAGCTCGACCAACAACCGTTCATGTCGAATGTTAAATCTTTTGGAAACATGATTTTTGTTGTTGCTGTTGTTGTTTTTGTTCGGTATTTCGAGACTGAACCGTAGTCGCAGTATTATCTCTCTATGAGGCAACAGCTGTATGTTACCTGTCTATCGTTTCAATGTGCAGTACATTTGCATAGTTTGTGCTGGTGCTGAAGAGTGTGGCTACTCGGTGTTTGTGTGTGTTGTTTTAACATGCTGCGCACACAAGCAATGTCTTGTTTCGACGAAAGTTAATCAGCGCGCACGTTTGTTTTATTTAGTTGAACGTGGAACGGCGAACCGTGCAGACATAATTCCATTGCGCACTAACGGTAACCTGCATTTTTCGGTTTACGCTCATTTTTGTTTTCATTTTTTTTTGTTATTCAATTAAACGAAAAATAAAATAAAATAAATCGAGAAAATTTTCTAAGTTATGTGCGATTACTTAAATATTGTGGTTAATTTACAGAAAAAAAATCATTGTGATGTTGAATATTATAATTAAAAAACTTTTTTTCAAAATATGATTTCGAGCCAAGCAGATTTTTTTTGATTTTTATTTGAATCATTTGCTGCCGCCACTTTGAACGAGTGTCAAAAAAAGCAGACCATAATTTTTTTTAACTACTCTCGTCATATCTTGCAGTTTAATTTCACAACAACCCGTCGCAAACAAACAAACTCTTGTTATACATGGGCAGAGAAAGATATAATTTTTCGACCAGAAAGAAAAAGTGAAAGAGCAAATAACTGGTTTTATTTTTCTCAATCGACACAGCAACCTTAAGCAATAACGAAAAAAAAAACAAAGAAGTCCATCGTTCATATACTAAATAATTGATATTAAAATAAGAAACGCACACAACCACCATAGCATCGTCGTCTAAAACGATATCTTTTTGTATGTGAAGAAATGTTATGTAAAATGTTGTAATACAAAAAATAAATAACGTGACTAAAAAATGAGACTATGACAAAGAGAATAATATAATAACGAGAATAATCAACATAGCAAGTGATCGGAGGTATTCAAATCACCCAAAAAAAAAACACAAAGTGCACAATCCAGAAACGAAAAATCGTTTAACAAATAACAATAAAATGACATCTCATATGAGTCATATGAAAATCGTATAAAGTGCAATCAATCAACAGCTCCATAGAAACATACTCAACATTCCCAAAGGGAGATTCTTTTATTTTTTAAACCAAAGATATTTATTTATTTTTTTACATAATAACAATTTGAATATTTTTCAACGTCATTGTGCGCGTTTTGTAGTGATACATTTAAAATAATTTATTCAATTTTATTTTGGAAGAAAGTTGTTGTTTTTTTTTCACTTCGCCTAATTTGTATAGCAAATATGAAAAATTGTTTCAAAATGTTTGAATTCAAAACACGGACTGCATTTATGGTGCTGCTATTAGCTGTTAGTATTTTTGGTGACAGTTTACCGAATATTTCAAAACAAAATAATTCAACGAAAACCAGCTCATCAATTGTTAGTGATCATGGATCAAAACTTATTCAACCTGTGCCATTAGTAGCTGAACATCCACATCATATCAATGTGCAATCGGAGAATTTCACAAATTTAATGCGATTGGAAGATGTGTTGATGGTGTTCGATTTGAAAGAATTGGCAGCCAAATGGTCGAAAATTCAACCTGAATTCAAATCGGATTGCGCACAAAACATGATCGAATACTTCCGCGGACTACAACAACACAAATTATGGGCAATAAAAAGTAAGTTTACAAGCAATCAATTGTATTGGAAGCATCTTGTTTTGTTTTTTTATTGATAATATCATGTCAAAAAAAAGAGTAATGATGAAAATGTACGACAAAAAACTCGTACTTTCTTTTCATTTTTTTTTTCAATCTCAATATGTGACTAGTGGTTTCCTTAAAAACAGAGCCACTGGTAAACGGTGTTTTTTAGCGAGTAAAACAATCGAAAATAAATGCGAACATTTTCTTTTGAAATACGTCTCATTATCTGGTTTTTTTCTTTGAGTTATTTAACGTATCTCATTTTTTGAATTCAATCGAATGAAATGAACTTGATATTTAAGTCACCACAACCACTCCTTTCTTCGATATGGTGTAATTACTTACATTTTTTTTTGCTATATATGTTGTAAACATATCGTGTGTTGCACATGCACTAGGTGAACCGTTTCGGATCTTGAACAGTTCTTCATGCACAACGAGGAACCAAATTGAAAGTGAAGAAATTGAAAGAAAAAAAACACACACATCAAAATCGAGCTTATAGTTTATGTAAAGTTCAAATGAACACCTTTCAAGTTTTTATTACTTCATCGATTAATATAAGAATGCATACAGGCCAGATTGGGATTGAAAACATTGTTTTTTCTTCTTCTTCTTCTTCTTCTTCTTCTTCTTCTTCTTTTGCTTGTCATGATTTTTCATTTATTACAACAGTATCGATTTCAGTGAATTTCAAAATAAAGTGCAATCGTTTCGTTTCTCATTTTTCTTCGGCCATATAATAAACAATATCAGCACTTCCACCGTACATCATGTATTGAGATTCTTCTATGGAGGTTTCTCTTTTTTGGGCTCTAGGTTGCATGATAATGTGCAAAAAATTTATACACCTCGCAATCAATCTCTCTTTCATCGCTATCTATTAACGAAATGTCCATTGTTGACTGTTTTCTTTAGTAACATTGCATGCATGTGATTTCTTCTTCTTCTTATTCATCGTTTTTATTTTGTCGACTTTTGTTTCGCCATCATTTTTATGCTGATTCATGCAATGTTGTTGTTTTCATTTTGCGATAGTTAATTATCGTTCAAATACTTGATGTTTCGATTTGCCTGCCAGACAAGCTTGTACGATACGTCGAAATGTTTATCTTCAACAATCGCATTGTTATTGGTTTGGTTTGCATTGAATTTGTCCTACATTTGTGTACGATATTTACGAAGCATTGAATCGTAAACTTCCTATTTCTTTGGGCAAACCAAAAAAAATGTTAGTGATGATGACCCATGTAATTTGGTACACACGAGGGAATTCCCGCCGATGCTTGTGATTTAAATTAATCAATGGAAATTCTTCAGTATTTACTGCTACAAAGTATGTGTGCTCTGCGAGACAAGGTGCGAGATGAAACCGAAATTCACGTTTGTATTTCGTTTAGTTTCACGCACATTGCAACGATAAAAAGTCATTCGTACATACATCAACACTGTATGATCGCAAATATTGAACAAAAAAGAGTTGTTGATACTGTGCCGATGTCAAAAATGTCGATCGTATACATGGAAAAGAAAACAAGTGAAAGTGTCCAAATATTTGAATACGGAATGAAAGTTGGACGAAAAATTAAAACTTTTATTTTTTTTTTCGTCAAATCGTCTTTATTTCACTTACCTTCATTGCTTCGGAAAGCTGAATATTTCAAGAAAAGTTTTCGTCTCTCTTCATTTATTCGTATGTGCGTATGTGCACATGTATGTGATCGTTAGTGTTTATCAAGCGAACGAGATGGAGATAGAGAAAGAGATTTCGGCCCGGTCATTATTTGACTAGTTTTGAATATTCCAAAAGCACCCAAAAAATACAATGCGACAAAAATTGGTTTCGATTGATTACATAAGTTGAATATTCTATTAATGAGCGTTGAATATTTTGTGACAGCATCTACATATGATAACTGCAAGTCACTACTTGGCCAACACACAAATTTATTCAAATTATCCAACATCCGAAATCCGAACATTTAAATATTTTGCGTTCGAAAACACGGAAGAATTGATTAAGAAATGGTCTGCATCATTAATTTTATTTTATTCACCAGATTGATGTTATGCATCATTTGAAATGTTATTGATAGTTCTTTAACGAAAGTCAAAGTTGTTTAATCTCATTTGTTATCACATATATTTCCAGTTCTTCTGCCGGCTGTGAGTCAAGTTTAAGCCAATTCATCGTGCACGAAACGCGTTTATTTTTGTTGAATAATTTTTTTTCTTTGATTTCTTTCTTTTACGCGCAACCCAAGACTCAGACAATGAACTTGTATTTCGATACATAACAACTGTTTGGTTTTCTGCAAATGAGATGCAAAGCGCTAATCGCATGTGTGTCTGTTAAATATGGATGTAGCTCTGAATTTCCATTTTGTAATTGTGCCCAACGGTGACATAAGAAATTGAGAGAATGAAAGAGGTAATCGTGTATGAGAGAGAGAGAGCATTATGATATGAGGATGCGAATGATTTAGCCGTTGAAATTTTATTGTTACATCATGCCATTTCGAATATGAAATTGTTTGAAATATTTCAATCCGCCCACTTCGAATCAATATCAGTATTAAACTTTGCACTCCCCGCAATCGAGGTTGGAATATGAAACTCATCTTTCATTTCTCCTAGGGGGGAGACACAAACGATTAAACCATGATTCCAATATAAAAACACTAATCCTACTATTCCACCAATCCGTCATTTCATTGTCAAATGTGATGTCACATTTCGCCGCTATTCACTTTGTTGAAAACTTATTTATCGATACTGGAGTATGACATTTTGTTATTGATAATTAAAATTATTTTTTTCATCAATAAAATTTTGAGAAAGAGTATCTATTGTTTTTTTAAATTTGTAATCGACTTTTGAACTAAAAAATATTTCAAAAAAGAACAAATTACTATCTCAAAACAAGTTCAATGCTTTTATCAAATTCTGTACTATCGATTACAAAAACTTTGAATTAACCCATTTTCGCTATTCCATACACGGGATTAGTGAATCCATGTGAATCCAGCTACTGAATTCTCTATTCCACTTTAATTTCTCGAATTTTTACACTAAAAAGTCTAATCCTATTCCACGTGTCTACCCCCTAGCATTTCTCGTATTGTTGCAAAGTGTGTACCCGCACTTTTCAACCGCTTTTTTTTTCTTTAAATTTCGAATAATTTATGGCACAACGTTAATATTATGCATGACTCTGTTTGCTTCGTATACAATTGTTTATACTATGTAGTACATCGCACAGTAGTATTCATGTTTATTTTTTCCAATTAATATTTATTCATAATTTTGCTATGAAAACAATTATCGGCGGAAAAAATAGTTAAGTATGTGGTATGTATACACATAAAGCAACATTCTACTCTTATGTATATTTTCTATGAAGACAGAGAAGATAAAAACGAAGCAAAAAAAAAGTATGTATAATAATGCTAATTTAAAGGCGAAATCACAAGTGAATAAACCGCACACGGGAAATAGCATGATGTATACTTTTATGATGACCCCCTTATGCGCGTGTTTATGTCACTGTTAACATTTGCAGCCGCTTATAGTTCAACAAAATGACGAAAAGTCAATCAAAATTAAAAACTGCATATTCGATTTGAATGTCATTTCAACAGAGTTAATTTTATTGACTGGTTTTCGGAGAATGCAACTGACTCTTGCAATATTTCAAACATTTTTTTTTTTTAAGAAAAACGAAACATTCAATTGAAATATTTTGCATTTCGCATCTATAGAGGGAGTAGGTTGAAGAGGTCACAAATTGCCAGACATAAATTATTTTGTTAACGAATGAAATGCATTTCCACTCTGTTCAGTGTGTAAACAGTTAAAATAAATTTGGTGTTTGGCATATCAAAAACCATCGACGAATAAGCAGGCGTCATCAGCGTTCCATTTGCCACAAGTCGATATAATATGAATATTTAATGTAGCACAAGGTCAGTCAAACGTATGCATGAAGATTGTTGTTGAATTTGTGACCGCTTTAAAACTCAAAATGCCGTTGCGTCCAAGCACACGCACTTCAATTTACCCATGTTATTTGGTGATATTTTTTTTTGGTTCCTCTACAGTCACTGTGTGTTTAAAGTGTTTTTTTTTTCTTGAAGTGACACGTCGTTCCTTTTCGCAAGAATGAGTTTTTTGCGTTTTGGAGTTTTTTCTCGTTTTTTTTCAACAACATAAAAATTAATTATGTTGTTGTTGTTGCACATTTCTCGACATTTTGATCGCAACACCATTTGAATGATTCACTTTTCCTTCAAACAAAATTTACGTGATGACCACTGTGTGTATGCAATGATGTCCGTCACTTTCTGCACACTCCATTCTGATTTTACACACATAAATTCATCGAACCCTTTCACAATACCACATACGGATAAGGTCATCAAAATTATATATTTTTCCATGTAATCACTTGATATTTGCGGTATAATTAAACAGTTTATTTCCTTACCTATGAATTTCAACATGGAAAAATCGTTTCCGAACTTTTCTGATTTTTCTGTATCCCATTCTTGAATCAATATCAATTAATTAAAAAAACAAAGCTAAAATTAACTCAATGGAATTGTTGAAAGAATATTCTCATAACAGTATAGGTTCTTTAACTTCTTTCAGCTGTCGGAAATAAACCAAACTACAATCGCTCCTACGATTCCATTCGGATTGTTATATTGTGAAAACCAGTGAAAAAAAGGCGATACTAAGATTCTAAAATAAGAATCGGTATCCTCGAAATATATACTCTCGCGACCATCGCCAATCGATCGAATTGCGTACACAGTCGTGCTCATGAAGTTTATTAATGGAATTATCCAGTCGGAATCGCATCGATTTTGCTCAAATAAGTGTATTACACAATTGGATCAGTTTATTTTCCACAATCGAAAACTTGTCCGATTGCAATGTCAACCACTTAAAGGTGCTAAAAAGCAAAAGTC